TTTGTGCTCCAGGGTCACAAATAAGAACTCCATTTGCTCTATTATTTAACATCAGGACAATAAAAAAAACACTTAGCATTTTAATGTGACACTGAATGCAGTGACAAAATCTTTGACAGCATCTATTTTCAGTAAGATCAGTTGTGTTCTGGTCCTTCTGATTCTTTTCTTATGGCTGTGTCCACATAATGAGCAGTACTGCAAGATTTGAAAAATTATAAACATCAACTTTAACTTGTCTTGAACCTGGCACATCCTGCTAACGTGTGACCTAAATCAACCAATAACATTCTCCCTTCACTCGTTTCACCAGTGCATACACGTTTCGCATAAAGAAAACCTTTAAAGTTAAACAGAATTGTGATGAATAATATTTTGCAGTCACTGTGAATAACAACCAAAAGTTTATGTGATGCAGTCACCTGAATATCTCTGTATGACAGAAGGAGGTTGATGACGACATCAGCTGAAAGACACTCCACGTTATCGAGCCGCTGCTGGATCCGTCTGAGCTCAGCCGCTAGCTCTGCTCCGGTGTAAAGCTCTCGCGCCTTACGAATCTCATTCAGAACCGTCTCACGGAAGTACTGGCTAAACAAGCACACAAAAGAGACAAAAAGAAAAGTTACTGAATTATGCAAGAATGGAAATACACATGGCAGATTCACTTAGAAGTTAGTATCATACACTCACACTAAGCACACAATTTTAGGAACATTTCAGCCCCAAGGTTGATTAGTATGGGCAGTATATGCACTGATATCTCCACTGATGGCTACCAGTATATTCAGTATATAATGACCCTAAATTTCAATACATAGGGGCAAAAATGCCCCTGTATAAGTTTGTCTTACATTTCTATATGACATAGTTAAGCACAAAAAAGCACAGTACTTTTAATAATGTCTCTTTTCGCTTTATTTCTCCAACAAAAAGAGTTCCAAACAAAGCAATCACAGAATGGTTGTGCGAGCCCAAGCAAAACAGAGTTGTGTTTCGTTCCTGAATACATCAGCGTTTCTGAACAAATCAATTCAATGAGCCATTCATTAATACTTGCTCCTGAATAAATCAGACGATTGAATGAATTGGTTAAATGAATGCCTCAAAGACCATCTTAATAAGACAGT